AGCGGTATGTCTGGTGACTTACAACGCTAGAATCCGGGTTTCGATACCCGTGGTGGGCAGAGCACAGATAGCCCATTGTGTAGCTTTGTGCTTAATTACAAACAAAACTTATACAATAAATTATTGTGCAGTTTTAAACGTTAATTGTTTTTACGTATTTTTATGAAATTTATGCCCAAAAATAGTCGTAGAATATATTGGATATGATAAGCAACCGTAAAAATCGAAAGATTAATGAAAGGGGTCATGTTTGTATTTCTGACAAATACGGAGCAGATCAAATGATAAATTATTTGTAGTAACTTGAAATGAAAACTACAGATTGCGCAAAATTAAGCACAGCTTCAATTGATACCGATACGTGATATTTAATTTTAGCAACATCATTTTCTTTCTAGATGTCCGTTCGAAGCCTAGTGTTAATCGTGCCCTAAACTGTGAAGCTAAAGGTTCGTATTTCTCAGCCCGTTGCCTCAAAAACACACGCCACAATTTGGGGCCATAGGTACACAATAAAAGTGACGGCCATCTTCCACTGTTCGACTTGTTTCAAGTTAAGCACAAAGCTACACAATGGGCCATCTATGCTCTGCCCATCATGGATATCGAAACCCGGATTCTAGCGTTGTAAGTCCGCAGACATACCGCTGTGCTACTGGGGGGCCCACTGTTCGATCAGTCTATAGTAACCTAAGATTTGGCTGTTGGCTTGCTGTTCTCCTTTAAATCTGTCAATTCAACATTTGGGTGATTTTGCGCAGATAGCCATTGTGTAGCTTTCCGCGAAATTCTAAGCAAACTAACGTTTTATGTTATAGATTAAGTACAGTGGGCGTAATGTGTCTCCTCTTCGTTTTTTGACATAAATTTGGAATAAAAAAAACTAAACTTTTCTGTTATAAAAGTTTGTCTTAATTGTTTTGTGTTGAATCCAAGTTATACAAGATTATTTTTGCTTAATACAGGTTTTCCTAAAATATTTTCGTTCAAATTGAGTTTATTATTATATCAATCAATATGTTTATAATCTAAATGGCTGAAATTATGCTTTAAATAATATTTGTTTTTTAGAGTTTTTTTTCTTGCTCGTTTGTTTTGTATTTGATCAATTTTACACTAAAAAAAAGTACAGATCATTTATACTGTTCATTTCCATGGCCGGTGCTAGCGGGGAAGATAGATGGCGGTTCCCCCTGAAATTTCATTGCCACCCCCACCCCCAAGCTAATGCCGTCCACTACACTAATTTTATATTCATTTTATATTTGGCCCCCTTTATATGTCTCATTTCACACACACAGTTAAGAAGAAACACTGGAGCCGAGACTTCTTTAGCACTCTGGCCGTGAAAGTGGGTTTTCTCCGGGCACTCCGGTTTCCCCCTCACAACTAAATTATCCTTGGTTTAGCCCTGAAGGCTCAACCCTGAAAAGGGACCGTCCTAAATTTAAAGCCTATATTCTTTTCCTAAATAATCAAACGGAAACTGGTCGCTTGGTGAAAGTCTTGGTCCTTCTCTCTGCCCCAACAACTGCCACCGAACTTCACGAAGTTGCTTCGAGCCTTTCTACAGGCCGCACGGCTTCCCGACTACATCTCTCGAACTAACAACGCCTCAGCACGTCAGAACAATTACACTCACGAAGTATAACAGCACACGCGCGGGGTTGAAGGGGAACGAACGTTCCCGAGCACCCCAGTTGGGAAGAGAGAACTTCGTTCTCTCTTCCTTCAAACTAAACCCCTGCCACGTTTTTTTTTTTTTTTTTTAGACTTCTTTCAGGAAACCCTCTCCCATGACTTGGGCTTGGCATGGCCTAGTGATTAGGGTGATCGACACACTAGCTGCAGGCCGCGGGATCAAATCCCGTCTCCGAACATGTTCATCTTTTCAGCCGTTAGGGTGTTATACTGTGACGAGTAATTCCACTATTCGTTGGTAAAAGAATAGCCCAAGAGTTGGCGGTGGGTGGTGTTGACTAGTTGCCTTTTCTCTAGTCTATCAGTTCAAAATTAGGAACGGCTGGCGCAGATAGCATTCGAGTGGCTTTGTTCGAAATTCAACAAATAAACACACACGGACACAAACACCCGACTTCATTAAGGTCCGGTATAAAAATAGCCCCAATCCGCCCCTGATAGTTTGCTTTACCTTTCGACATTCAATTAACAAGAACGTCATGCCTTCACGAAAAATTACCCAAATATTTATGAAGTTCATGACTATACAGTTTCTCGACAGGTTTGATGTATCAGATGAGCCATTGTGTTCTTACGTCATAGATAACTTATCAAAAGAAAGCCAGTCGAACTCTGCCACTTTTCACGATAAGACAGAACCAAAGTAATAGCTAACCTCGCCATCAAACACCTTTAATGTATTTTGGATTGTGAAGGAAGGTAAGTATGTGTGTATTTTAGCAGATGGTGACGTCTGTTTAACTCAAGCTGAGTTATTAGTAGAACCATATTTGGTTTCGCTAGTTTATATTCAAGGAAATATTAAAATCGGTTTTTATTAATTACTGATAAGAAACAGATTGCTATTTGCAATTGAACTGAAGAGTTAACCTAATTTTCTTTATACTGCAGTTATATTAACACCATGTTGAACAAACAAGTTACAGTAGTAGTAGTAGTAGTAGTAGTAGTAGGTTAATGGAGGATTAAATGATAAATTTTCTGCTGTATTTTTCGTACATGACTCTAAGGCTGTAGTAATAAGTTTATTTTATAAGTTTTGAAATCAAAACTAGAATGACTCAAATTTCCTAAAGAAAAACAATAGTGAATTATTTCTAGCTTGTATTCTTAAGAAATATTATACGTTTTTGTTTCAGGGTCGGGTATGGCCTAGTGGACTATGAACCCGAGGATTCATGGTCCTTGACTCTTTTGCCACAAAAATGCGCTCCGCACTTTGGGGCCATAGATGTGCTTTAAAATTGACGGTCGAGTTTCACTTTTCGATCAGACAAGAGTTGGCGTCGTGTACTGTTAACTCTCAACCTTCCCTTTATTGTATCAGTTCATAATTAGGACCATATATTCACATATAGCCCTTCTGTAGCTTTGCAGTAAATTCTGGAACAAAAAATTAAATACTCTCGTTCATCTGTTCAAATTAATGGTTATGCACAGATAGTGCTTTTGTTACTTTGCACGAAATTATGAAATAAACAAACTAGTTTTTGCTATAAATATAGCAAATTAAGTATTTTCTTCCACAATAGCTGGGCCTGTGGAAATTACTTGTAAACAGATGTGATGTCGAAACTGTTTTTCTGATGTAGTTAGGCCTGTGGAAATTACTTGCAAACAGATGTGATATCGAAACTGTTTTTCTGATGTAGTTAGACCTGTGGAAATTACTTGTAAACAGATGTGATATCGAAACTGTTTTCCTGATGTAGTTAGGCCTGTGGAAATTACTTGCAAACAGATGTGATATCGAAACTGTTTTTCTGATGTAGTTAGGCCTGTGGAAATTACTTGCAAACAGATGTGATATCGAAACTGTTTTTCTGGTGTAGTCCTGAAAGGTTCAGGATTTTGATACTTTCATTCCATTAAAAAAAAAGTAAGAGAAACTGCTAAATCAACACTTTCAGGCAGCAAACGACAACTCACAGAAGCTTAAAGGCGTACTGAAATGAGTTAATTTTCCTAACAACGATTACATTAACTTGAGTAAGGAAGCACATTATGCTAATACAATAATAACGATTTATAAAATTAAATAATAGATTTATTTTGAGGGAATTGTACTACAGGCTTCGACAGAACATTGATTTGTCTTCCTCAGGTATGGTCTGTAGCCTAGAAATGTTCTATCGAAACATGTAGTATGCCCCCCCCCCCAAATATAAATCAGTTATTCTAGGACGATCCCTGACCTTTAACTTATTGGTTATTTTTCACCCTTTAATATATCCTACTTTGTAAAATAATCAAAGCACCAAACAATCAAAAAACAAATTATCACTATCGTAACAAAAGTGTATTTTTAATAGTTAAGACGTTTGAATTAATTTGCATAAGGACTGAGCGGGGATTTAAAGGCAGTCAGTGTAATAAATGCGCTTTTTTCAACCTACAAGATGTCCTTGTTTTTACAATCTTTTGAATTCATCAGACTGGTCGCCATCTTTGATTGTCCAAGATAATAGTTTATACTGATTAAAACAGTCTGTAACTGAACACCTTAAGACTTTAGCAAATATAGCCGTTCATAATAAGTTCGTAAACAACGATTTATAAGCACAATACAAAAAACGCCCCCATCCCTTTAATTAGGCAAGTATATATATGAATGTTTCCGAACAGTGTCTAGTAATCTTATACTACTCATCAATGTGTAAAAAGTTAAAGTTTTCATTTTGACTTCAGATAAGCCCAATCTTGTCTATTTATCACTTATAGGTGTTCTGTCTTTTTAAAACCCAAACCTCACGTGTCGATTTTCCGTGTGATTCGACAAAGATCTAAAACGTTTTCACGGAAACGACTCCGGAAACGATTCGACTTTAAAAGTCATCTTCAAGTCGCACCAAGACAGAGTTCTGTCGTATTCACAAGATAGATTTCTGTCGTATTCACAAGATAGATTTCTGTCGTATTCACAAGATAGATTTCTGTCGTATTCACAAGATAGATTTCTGTCGTATTCACAAGATAGATTTCTGTCGTATTCACAACATAGAGTTCTGTCGTATTCACAACATAGAGTTCTGTCGTATTCACAAGATAGATTTCTGTCGTATTCACAACATAGAGTTCTGTCGTATTCTGAACGATTTCTCCAGTGAGTCATATATATATTTCTACCAATGAACAGAAGCCAATCCTTTGACGTTTAGGCTTGCACTCCGTGGATCAGAATTTTACTTCAATTTCAAAACAATAAATAAAAAACCCGTGTGTTTTTGAAACGATAATCGACTTAGTTTCTTGATTCAATTTTATATGGTGCTTTACTTCCACCTCTTACAGAAAAGTAAACTTTTTGTTTAAAAAAAATTATCATAGGCTAAACAAAACTAATATGCTGGAAATTAGAGACTCCTGCGACTGCACATGCTTTAGAAAAAATTTTGGCGCCATTTCGAGCTGCTAGGGCAGATTTATTTCATTGTTGAAATATAATGTCATCATACACTTAGCTGTTCTGCATAAAATAGTAGGCCTACGAAGAATTTGAACACAGCTTGCAGAGGTTTTGGTATGGATCTTCGGTGCAAAAGACAAAATTTTCAATTGGAAAACATACAAGATATATCTTTAAAGAGAAATAATTCTTGTTGAAAACTCGTTAACATTTACGTGTTGTTCCCGTGAATATCAGTATTAGAACATAATAATAATTTACGTTAATTCAAAAAAATATATTAGTGTCGAAAGAACATTAAAAACTAATACGATTTAACTGATATAAGAATACGACATTACGCTAGTGAGAAATCAGACGCGTGTAATTGCAAGACGAGCGCCATCTTTAAACTAGAAAATACTTACGCTTGATAAACTGTTTAATTAAAATTGCTCTAAAAGTGTTGTGCGAGATTTTATAACCTAAATTTTTATAATTATCTTTTCTATGATAATAAAAGTTTTTTGAAGTAAGGTCTATAGTACAAACAAGTCTTTTTTCCGGGTCACTTATTTTTGTCAAGTTATTGTAACGAGAGTATCAACCTTTATCAATTTGAGAATATCGCCTGCTTGCAGAAAAAGAAAAAAATGGGCAGTCAGATGTAACAGGTCGTCACATTTAACAAATTAATTATTCATACACACGAATTAATAATCTTGCAGATAACTTGCTTATTTTTTTATGATAATCGACTCATTTATTTTAAGATACATAATATAAAGACAAAAAGAACTGCTTTGATTTATCACTCCAATCTGCTGAAAATAAATGTATATATTTTTACAATATTTATAAAGTATAATTGAATCATTTATTTTAAGTCACGTAATATACAGACAAAAAGAGCTGTTTTAATTTAACACTTCAGCTGCCGAAAATATTTTTTATTGTGTTCATAAAGTATAATTTATATACTTTAGAAACCAGAGACTTAAAAAAGTTAATTTACGCGTTCTTTAATTATTACACAGCAGTTTTGTAATTAGCATTGAATAATATGCAATAGAAACCAGACCTCGTGCATAATATGTTTTTGTTAAGCCTCAAATTATCTTTCGTTACCCTACTTCATTTCTGTAGATGACAGAGAAAAACAGATTCGTCACTTTGGTCACTTTTTGTACCTTGACTGCTTTAGTGACCTCTCAGACTTGTCCTCCAACAGAAGACGTCGCCCCATGTACGTGTAAGGTTTCGAGAAAAGGTACTGTCCTAGTGGAATGCGTCAATATTAATTCAGAAGAGATTCTTACTAGGGCTGTACAAGCGCTTAAAGGTTATGAAATTGCGTATTTCAAGCTAGTGAAATCAAACTTGAGCTCGCTACCAAGTGGCCTGTTTGACGGGACGAAAATTAATCGGATTGAGATCCTCAGTTCTGTTCTAAATGACCTTGGACCCAAAGATTCAGACGCTTCGCCTTTCATTGGTCTCGAAGACTCACTCACGGAGCTTGTAATATTTTCACCCATGAAATCGGTGAAGAAGTGGAACTGGAAACATCTTTCTCCACTGACTAAGATGAAAAGGCTTTTGATCAACAGATGTCATAACACTCTCAAGGTTGAAACGGAGTTATCGTACGTCACAAATTCATCAGTGACCTGGTTTCAGTTTAGCACATGTTGCATAACAGAAGTAAGACCAGGTGCTTTGGATGCTTACCAGAACCTTGAAACCCTCGATCTCATGGGGAACCGACTTTCTAGATTAAGGAGAGCTACCCTTCCGAAAACTGCTCCCAATCTAAAAAAATTAGAATTGAGGTAAGACTGCTTTTGTTAGAACTTATATTATCATTTTCATTTTTGGTAAACTTGTAAATTTTACACTTCATTTTTAAGTTTTTATGTGTGTTTGTTCATTATACTCATAAAACAATTATTGCCGCAATTTTCGAAATAAATTACGAAACCTGAAACCACTATATAGTTATGAAATAAACCTATGGTTATTAAGCAACATTGTTATACATATTAACAGCAAACAGTTATAAGAAATTACTTATTTCAGTATACAGTCTCAGGGATGTGACAGGCAACAATTTGTTGACCAGACGATTTAAACAAAACACAATAAATACAACATTCCATAGCCCTAGCGGTGTGATGCGTTTTTTGCGAAGTGTAATTCATTGTTGTTATTCACTTTTTTTTTTCAGCCGGAATATGATTTCCATTATAGACGTGGACACGTTTACAAACCTACCTGCCTTGAAGGAAATATACTTGGAAAGTAATGATATAGCATACATATATGAAGACGTGTTTGGTGGTATCTGGAATCAACTGGAACTCCTTGATTTGAAAGGTACGTTTTTTTCTTGGATTTCTTTTTTTTCTTTTAATTCATATATGATGCTCTACAACTAGTCAACTCCCCGTGATAATTCACGGGAATTAATAACTATTTACATGTTTTCAAGTGAATTCGTACAAAAAAATCCCAAGATTCTCCAAAAATAACTTTTATTCCTATTATGCGGCTAAAGTACGAGCAGTTCGACAATCTTCAAGAACATATTTTGAAGGAACCGTTAAATGGCCATGTTAATTTTTATATAAACACGTGGATCTAGTCCTGAGGTATCCCAAAACTCCTTTTTTCCCCACAGCATAATTTGTTTGCAATGAAAAAAAAACGTGTGAAGATCTATTCTTTGACGAAAGGCGGAAGACTTTCGAAACGTCATCCTCTACACCTTGTGTCTCTACAACAGAAAGTTGTCGTCCGTTCTACTAAGTTTCATTATATGAGGGCCCGGCATAGTCAGGTGGTTAGGGCGCTCGACTCGCAATCTGAGGGTTACGGGTTCAAATCCCCGTCACACCAGACATGCTCGCCCTTTCAGCCGTGGGGGCCTTATAATGTGACTGTCAATCCCACTATTCGTTGGTAAAAGAGTAGCCCGAGAGTTGGCGGTGGATGATGATGAGTAGCTGCCTTCCCTCTAGTCTTACACTGCTAAATTAGGGACGGCTAGGACAGATAGCCCTCGTGTAGCTTTTCGCTAAATTCAAAACAAATAAACAAATCATTGTTTGAAAATCAAGTTTTGCGCATTAACCGAAAAAAAACCAAAAACCATGAAATAATGAAATCAGAATTCATTTTTCACATGTAATAAAGACTATTACAGTCACAATTTTCATACACAAAGTCGTTGATAAATTCCAAACCTTCCTCTCACGTAAATCTTATTTGAAAAATTCTTAGAACATTTATAAACCTTGTGTTATATTATTAGTCTGATAAGATGATAATTTGAGTATAATGTATATTAATCATATTTGACAATAAAGTCAGAAAAAAAAAACGACCGTTGTTCTCCAGATAATAACAAAATATCTTAGTTCATCTAGTTTTGCCCCCCAATGGCACAGCGGCGTGTCTACGGACTTACACCGTTAGAAACCGGGTTTCGATACCCGTGATTGGCAGAGCATAGATAGCCCTTTATGTAGCTTTGTGTTTTTAATAATAAACAAACAAACATCTAGTTTTAGGTACTAAGGCGAAACATCGGTTAAAATGAAGTTGTCTTATAATTATCTGGAGTGTGGGGGTAATTGTTTTTCTAATTTACTAGAAAATATGTAAAACCATCCAGTATGCACTACAAATTCTGTAAATCAACAAAATATAGTAATCGTAGCCTAGTTTTTGTAAAGCAGTTGTCTCTGTTGTAATCGTTATTCTTAGGCAGTTTATTAAAGGTTTCTTTGCAAATGAGTAGAAATATAAATATATTTATTTCAGGTCTCGAATCTGTTTTTAAAGTTCCAAAGACTACAATATGCCATTATATTTCTTGTCTTTGTTTTTTTATAACAAAAAATCAATTATCACAACAACTACGTGATACTTTGGCGTACTGTGTTAAAATGGCATTTGTTTCGTTATTAAGTTCCAAGTTAGGGATTTACTATGTTAAACAAAGACCACAAAATTGTTTTCAGTTTTTTCGGTCACTGTGTTTTAGGCCGTATTCTCTTTAATGTGTATTTGTCTCAGTTCTTCTGACTAATCGTTCGAAATGAACGTTAGTACCTGAAATATTCCAAAATTAATGTATTTTGCTACTTGTACCAATACGTCTTAGCTTGAGTACATTTTGATGTAACTAAGTTTAACTTCATTTGGAATGTTTGGCTTTCTTGAGCTGAAACTTTATTCCTTCTAGAAACAGGGAGAGTTCTATAACGGCATTTCATTAATTTTATTATTATATTTTTAATGGTTTCTATGTATTTCTGATTTATTACTAGATAACAATATAATATGTGACATAAACCTGGCATGGATTGTTGGTCAACAAATGATCTATGACAGTGCTGACCAGGTTCCTCTTCAGTGTGGTTATCCAAGCACCATGACCGGTAGATCTATCAAAACGCTGACGAAAGAAGAATTACGTGCCGTCGGTGTAGTGCAGCGTCCAGTTGGAAGAAACAAGAAAGATAATTTTTGCATAGATACAGAATAAAAAGCTGAAATTTTGACAAAGAAGATAAGAAAGTTTCTTGCTGTGTAAATCTAGAGAAAATTTATGATATAAAACGCCATCTATTGGTGTTTGAAGATAAAAATTAAAAATTTTAAAAATAATAACAATAATAAATAAAAATATAACAGAAAACTGTGGGTTGTATTTGAATTAGTTTCGTAATATGTAACCTAATAAAAAGGGGACTTTTGCAATAAACAATGATGATATAAAAATTAAACAAGTATAAAATAACTGGTGTATTTAAGTGTTTTACACTCACAAAAAAAGAAACCTATCATTCTATAGGTATTTGAAGAATTTGTAGCAATCCGCCACAATTTAATTCTTCGTATTATTGGCAAACACTGGGCAGCTTGTACATAATTGAATAGAGTCGTTTAAACAACTCTACTTATTCAGTTATAAAATAACTTCTTCAAAGTTGCTAGCTCTATACAAAACAGTACTAAAGATATATTAGTTTCCTATTTTAAATTTATAAAGTTTGTTACAGAGTAAAGCCACACTGGGCTATCTTCCGTGTCCACCACGGGAAATCAAACATGGGACTTTATCGTTGTAAGTTCTTTGACCAGCCGTTGTCCCAACGGGAGCTAAATTTCTATATATATGTATATATATATATAAACATAAACATAAAAGAAATGGTGATTGAATGAGTATTACATGTACAAACACTGGCTTAAAGGTAGGCATACATCTTAGCGTAAAATCCCCCCGTGGATGATCGGAGGTTTACGGACTTACAAGGTTCGATTCCCCGCGATAAACAGAGCAGAAATGACCCATTGTGTATCCTTGTATTGAAGAGCATAGAAAAACGTAATTAAAAGTGATTATTTTCACGATGATGACTCAAATACATATTACCATAAGCTACACTCAACTATATTTTATATTTGCATCACACCTTTTTTTGTTATTTAATAGTAATCATGCAGGTATACTATTTAAGGCATGTACAAAAACAATTAACGAATTTAGTGATAAAGGTATATTATAAGCTTCTCTTCAATAGAAATGTTCATGGCACTTTGTATTTCAGTTTTGTCATTTCGGTTTTGCTCAAAGACAGAAGCGTAACGGGACTGCATTTTTATTTACGGTTTTAATTAGTAGAATTAAACAACATAAATAAAAGAATAATATCAGTTTTAATTAAAACTTTTTTTTTATTTTTCAAAGAAAAATGAGAAGAAGAAAAGATTGCCAACTTTTTCTGCAGTACACTGAAATTTACAGACGTTATTAACGTGGTGCCATCTAGTAACGATTTTAAAACCTTCATAAATTTTATCAGCTTATATTATTCTATTAAAATTATTAGATTATAAAGAGAATTATGTTTTATAATTAATTCAATAAATACGGTATTCCTTATTTTATTACAAATATCACTGTTATACTCGGTAACACAAACTAAACTAAACTGTTTTAGCCATGGAACTTTTTTTTTTTCCGCTAAGAATTTTATCGTCTTACAGAACATAGAATTATCAAAAGTTTATGTCTAGAAGACCATGATTCAATGAATGCAAAAGTTTAAATCTTAATTAGAAATCTGGTAAGACTCAGTGCTAAGACATACAAGCCCTGAATCTTATTCTTCGTCAAAACCTGAGCCAAAATATTTTCAATCAGTATGGTTTTATTGGACCTCAGTTTGCCAAAACAGAAAAATTAATGTTGATCTCAATTTTGACATCTAATATTAAAAAAAATCATATGTTTACAAAATTGTCAAATTGAATAAGAAATATAAACATGTCTTTATGCTAGAAAAAATCTGTAATCTTTCAAAAAAACATTTTTTTTTACTAAACTTGGTATTTTATTTAAAAAATTAATCTAATGGAGAAAAATATTTTTTGTCTCTTAATTGTGGATTTTAACACCTTTTCTTTTTCAATATTACATTTACAACGGACTTAAAACGCTAGAGACCGGGTTTCGACACCCGTGGTGGGCAGAGCACAGATAGCCCTTGGTGTAGCTTTGCACTTAACTACAAACAAACATTTACAGGTACACAACTTATTTTCAAAACTATTTCATTATAAGATATAACTCTTTGTTAACATTTACACGTATAAAATAGTGAATTATTTAAAAGTCTGCTTTATGTTTATTACCATGGTTTTAATTTTAAATACATTTTAAATGTACTAATTTTAATGTATTAATCTTTTATCCATTTTCTCTAATTAATATGAGGCTTAAACCAGCTATATTACAGATCTGACACCTACTGTTTTGTATAAGATAACAGATTATTCCGTAAACGGAAATCTACCTATTTCTATTTCATTGTGCCCCAGTAGCTCAGCGATAAACTTGAGGAATTATATCGCTAAAATTCAGGGTTTCATCCTACTGGTGGGAGGAACCACAGATAGTCTATTGTGCGTCTTTGCGCTTGACAGCACTATGTTATATAATTGTATATCTTAGAAGAAACTCCATACTTGGCTTAATCCAGTTAGTCTCAATTCCAATTTTCCAAGATGGTGGTCCATCTAACTTTAACACCACTTTTGGTTTTCAGTAAGTAGCAACAGTTAGATGAAAATAGTTTCAAAGTGGCTCTTGTTTTCTTGTACAGAGAACTGATCTAAAGACATAGTAAGACTATACCTTACTTAAAGCTTAAGAGGAAAGTCTATAACTTTTTTCATACGCACAAAAACAAAAAAATATAATTAAATCTCTCGTCCAATAGGCGGAAAGATTCTGTTGATGATGAGTATGTGACCCCATCGAGAAATATAAATGTTTTAATAAGGCCTGGCACCTTCAATATGTGTGTGTGTATATGTATATATTACTATAATGGACGTAGTGTGTATATATGTATCTATCTCTATACGTGACCGAAATAATTAATTCAATGGGGCGCCATCTATTGAATGGCACTACAAACAAAAGTCCATTTCTTTATTACAGAACACAACTTTAAATAAATGTACATGTACTTCCTCACAACAAGAACACAACTTTCACAAGGACTTTACGTGAGGGTTTGATTATATATTTATTAATGTAATTTGTAAATATAGTACTAAAAAGGGAGTTATTAAAAAACTGTTATTTTTCCAATAAAGGGTA